AGCTAGTGAAAAATGGCGACGTGAATAATCGCACCAGTGTCCGAAGATAAAATGATATTGAAAGTTAAAACAACGATAAAGTGAGGGAATTGTCACTAAAGAGTCGAAAAACAGATCGGTAATGTGCATTATATAAATATTAACAACTTTATACTAAAATATGTATACAAGTATTCTTAAATTATGCGGCAATCAATTCCAACAGAAAATAAGGGGACACTTTTGAAGTCAAGGACACCTTTGAAGTCTTAACACACGTTCTTATTTACAACTGTTAAAAGGCGGTGGCCACATAAATTCAATAAGAGTTGGAATCAGCGACTTGTTCTTCGGCTATTTTGTCTAATCAAAGAGGATAATTTACTAAGAATAAATGCTTATATTATGGTGATGTTCGCACCCTGAATGTAACATTTCACACGCAATAATTACCATTAAAATGGTATTATATTTTTTGTGGTTTAAATCACATGGAAATTTGTTTATTCACATTTTGCAAATTGGACATCTAGTACTCTGTACTATCTATACTAAATATACTGTTGCCAACAGCGACCTTTCTATCTTAAGCGATGTTGATGTTGTCATGCTAACAGAGACAAATCAAATTATAATTAACGCACGCAACATTCAATACCAGCTTTCGTTTTCATGTTACTACAACAATTCCGAAACCATGATTAATTATACCATTTATGCTTTCTGTTTCCATGGTAACAAAGTAGAAATATGATGTCTTCCGCCTATCACATTTTTTGCAGACACTGTTTTTTTGTAATGTGTATGATAATGTCTAACTTTCCGAACGCTATTGGATCAAGTTGTGCTATTGTTAATACACGCCAACGTTTACCTACAAATCAGAATGACTAGTTTAAAGGGCGCGGTAGGAATGGTTGCGTTTTGTGGTTGTCTGTTCCTTATAACGCATAGTGTAATTTTCATACTCTCGGCTCGAAATAAAAGTGAGAAAATAAATCTCTAATACCAAAAGTAGACATAACTAAGACGTGGGAAATCCACGCATGTATAAATTCCAAAATATATACATAAAGATTAAATTGAAAACATTATGTTTAACCTTATCTAACAACAATGTTTAGGAATCATGTCATTACTTAGACTGCACTGGTGCCTCAAAGCTTGTAGTTTTAAAACCAGGTACTCTAAATATTTGGAAAACAAGTTCTGAGTGTTATGCTCATGACCTCTCAACGCTTAGTATGTGACCCCATTCGGTTTGTCCCCAAGCCACTACGTGTTATAAATAGTTAATGAGGGGTGCTACACAATATGTCGCGTCAGCTCCGTTGTAGTTTTATGAGTGCGTCTTTTTCGCACGTTGTTTCATTCATACTTTGGAATGGTCACGTTCTCTTTTACAACTGTTGAAAGGCGGTGGCCACATAAATTTAATACGAGTTGGGATCATGTAGGGTGGGTGGTGAGAATGAGATGGTTGGTGTGGGTGAGGTGGGTGGTGATAGTGGAATGGTTGGTGAAAGTGAGGTGGGTGGTGAGAATGAGAGAGTAGGTATAAGTGAGATGGGTAGTGAGAGTGGAATGGTTTGTGTGAGTGAGGTGGGTGGTGATAATGAGATAGTAGGTGTGAGTGAGATGGGTGGCGAGAGTGGAACGGTAGGTGTGAGTGAGGTGGGTGGTGAGAATGAGATGGATGGTTGGGGGTGAGGTGGGTGGTGATAGTGGAATGGTTAGTGAAAATGAGGTGGGTGGTTATAGTGGAATAGTTGGTGAAAGTTAAGTGGGTGGTGATACTGAGATAGTAGGTGTGAGTGAGATGGGCGGCGAGAGTGGAATGGTAGGTGTGAGTGAGGTGGGTGGAGAGAATGAGATGGCTGGTTGGGGTGAGGTGGGTGGTGATAGTGGAATGGTTGGTGAAAGTGAGGTGGGTAGTGAGAATGAAATGGTAGGTGTGATTGAGATGGGTGGTGATAGTGGAATGGTTGGTGAAAGTGAGGTGGGTAGTGAGAATGAGATGGTAGGTGTGAGTGAGATGGGTGGTTATAGTGGAATGGTTGGTGAAAATGAGGTGGGTAGTGAGAATGAAATGGTAGGTGTGAGTGAGGTGAGTGGTGATAGTGGAATGGTTGGTGAAAGTGAGGTGGGTGGTGAGAATGAAATAGTATATGTCAGTGAGATGGGTGGTTATAGTGGAATGGTAAGTGAAAGTGAGGTGGGTGGTGAGAATACGATGGTAGGTGTGAGTGAGGTGAGTGGTTATA